AAATCTCTGTAGATGTTCATTGAAATGAAAAATAAACAACCTAAATTAAAAAAAAAAAATAAAAGAAAAAACAAAACCCACAAACTTGTAATAGGTTGAAAATATGTCCATCTAGTTGTGGAAATGATCCTGTTTACATGAGGACTTGTGTGAAGCAATTACATATTTGCTGAAGAGTTCTCTTGAACTGTGTTCACATTTATTTTGCTTAGAAAAGAATTCAACCAGTTTAAATCTGAAGGAACTATGAAGGCATTTCCTCTTTTTTCCTCCTTTTTCTAAGAGGAAGTTGCTAGATGCTTCCATAATTAGACTTTAAATACTGGGAAGGGTACTTATAATTAAAAGGATTCTAACCTTTTAGAAAGAAAGAAAACAAACACAAACACAAAACCATTTTTGGTGCTCCAGTGCAGGGATGTCTTTTTTTTAAAAAAGGTCAATAAAAGGAAACAAACAAATAAAACCCCAAAACGTGACCAGCTTGGAAGCCTCTAAGGTAGAATATGGATGTACAGTGTTATTGCTAAAACCTTTTTACCTCTTGGATGGTTTGGATCTTTTTTCTCCCTATGAACTAATTGTATTAAAAAAATGTTGAATATTTATATTTGAATTTTGCTCTTGTATGGCAAAATAATTTAGGATTTAAAAAAAAAATCTATGATTTCCAGTGAACAACCTAAAACTTGTCAGCAGATGTGTATTTTCACAAAGGGTTTTAAACATTGTGTGAACACCAGTTGTTTATATGATCAACTTGCTTGGTTTCAAGGTCTGAGAACCATGGACTATCTTAGTCCTATGCCTGTTCAAATATGCTACTGTGCCTGGGATAGAGCCTTACATGTCCTCAGCTCTGTAGAACAACTTGAACCACCTCGTTTGTTAAGTGACTTACCCCATAAATGACTGGGATGCCTAAGAGGGGAAATTTTTCATAACGCCACTGTGACATAAGAGCCTGTACCCATACTCCTTCAGGACACCATGTGCAAAAAGGCCAGCTTTGCCTCCTACAGCATATGGTCAGCTGCCCAAAAGGAGAGTCAAATCCAGTTTGAGTCCCAACATCACAAACGTTCTTATGCCTTAGAGTGGCGCTTGGATATATGTGTCCAGAGTTTTCTGTCATCTGGTTTTTACCTGATTCCTCCTCATTTCTTAGTATATAATCTGGACCAATCTATCTGCCTGGCTATGCTTTTTTTAACCTTTATCTGAATTACCTGATTGCAGTAGATTTTACTTGTGAGGCATGGGTGATTTACGTGTTTGTATTGTTGTTATGTGCCGTCGAGTTGCTTGCGACTCATAGCAACCCCATGTACAACAGCCCTAACCTCTGTTCTGTCCTGTGCCAATTGCACTGCTTCCGACACACCCTGTAGCCAGGACTAAAATGACAGCTATGCAAAATTCATGAACTTGACCTACACTGGGGGTCTTCAGTGTTGGCTGCCATAACTGCAGTGTGGATAGGACCAGAGAACTCTTGAAGAACAAGGGTCTTCATTCAACAGTAAGAATGGCGGAAATGCTAGGTACCTTCCATTTTTCCATAATTCACTTTTGCATTCTGTCAGAACCAGTCCTTGATCAGAATTTTCATTAGGATACTGCTTTGCTCTACACATCAAAGGCTCCTTACGGTCTCCAGCAACAAATCTAAATTTTACCTGGTTTTCAAGGCTCTATATAATCCTCCTCTCCTTTCCCAGTCCTTGTAGCTGTCTTTCCCCCACTGCTATTATTTGCCATCATAAATTTCATCCATGACCATATGTGGTTTAAGTTGGCTTCCCTGTCGGGGAGTACTACCTACCTACTTACTGTGGTCAAGTTTATTCCATTTCAGAGGTTTCTGAGGCTGTAAATTGCATGGGAGGAGATTATTCGCCTTTCTCCTTTGGAGCAGCTAATGGATTTGAACCATCAGAGAAATCCCATCTTTGGATGAACAGCACAGCTCTCTACCAACTATGCCACCAGAGCTTTTCTGCGTCTACCCTGTATACCTCTTAAAATCTTGAAAATCTGTCCACGACCTATTGAAAGTATTCTCTTACTTTCCTCCATAATAGATATTTAATCATGTATATCCTTGAGTGACCTGCTAGTTCTTTCATATACTTTTTCCTCACAAAATTTTAAGTTTTTAGGGTAGGAATTTTTCAGTCACATCATATCCAACTAACTATTTTTTAAATAAAATGAGTAAGGAACTACAGATTAAACTGACAGCAAAGATGGGTGGTCTTTGGGAATTTGTTCAAAGCTGGTGGTAAACCCAAACCAGTACTGTTTTATAATTCTCCTGGCTCTGTTGTAGTCCCCTTGCTCATTTTCCCATTTCTTAAAGTTCTCTTCCAAGAATCATAACAATATTTTTGTTTCATTAGTGAAGTGCCATGACCTTTTTGTCTCACTGGTAGTGATGATTTACTACCCCAATGTAAATTAACACACTAATTCATCAATGACTTTAAAGGACCCATTTAATGAAGATTTAAATTTATAAATGTAGGTATGGGTTTTAGTGATAGAAATGTCCCAACTGATACTGTAACTTAATAAAAACAATGTCACACAACAGCTGAGTGGCGTTTTCCCAAGACAACCTTGCTAACAACAATCTCACCCTAAAATAGACTAGCTGGCCCATTTATTGTAACTCAAGGGTGCATTTCAATTTGTAAGTGCCCCTGTCTGTTTTCCTGAGTGCTCCCTAAAGTAAAAGGATATATTGTTGTTCTTATGTACTGTCAGTCAGAACTAACTCATAGCCGAGCGGCCAGCAGGTTTTCAGAGGCAGGAAATGACATGGGAAGAGACAGCTCATCTTTCTCCAGTGGTGGGATTAAACCACATGGCTTTGGATTACTCCTGACGATGAAGCCAACAGAGCTCCCTAAAGAATATCAAGTAAATTTAATACTGGCTTTTCATCAAGGACAAGTATATAAAGATACTTGTTCATTCTACAGGTCCCTTTGGGTTTGATTGTCTTTGAGGGCCTGCTAAGAATCAGCCTGGAGACAAAAGTACCTCAGGAATCACTTGGTGTGGGTCAAGT